GCATTTGCATAACAGTTTGCATAAAAAAATGAAAGTAATCCATCAAGTTTAATAATTGTATTTAAAATCAATTACATGTAAGTTGCGAGTGCTAAAACTGTTGACGTACAATATGAATTAAACATTTGCCAAAAAAATCTTATCTAGCCTGGCACAAAATTGCCATTCGCTGCTGAGCTCTCTCGCCACTATAATATTGGGAACGACAATCGGCTATCCAGGCCAAATTACACCAGCACCCCGATTTTAAATGGGTATACCCCCCCCCCCCAATATCCCTAAAATTGTTGTGTATTTGCTCTCTCGTCCCTTATTATGAATCTCTTCGGACATTTTTAAGAACCTTACTTATCAATATATACTTCAGAATCGCAGTTCTTCTCCCCGTTTCTGTTATTGTTGATGACACTTCAGCTGAGCTACAACACTGTGGTCACCCGTCAAACTGCCGCTTTCTTTTGTTTGTATTTTAACTCCATTCAGGTCAAAGTTCAACAAAATTGTGTACCAAGCCTAACGCGTTTAGCAAAAATCAGATGCAATATTAGAATGTAAAAGTGAATTCCGAAGGATGATTTGTACTACAAATAAAATATAGATTTATGTTTCACGATAAACAAATATTACTTTCTGACTGTGTTGTTCACTTGTCCCAGGATGCAACTTTCCAACATGGATGCGCCCATATATGATCACTGACCGCGAAGGTCTTCTCGCTTTTTTTACAGTTTCCGTTCACCCTTGGTTAAGAGCTTGGCATATTCTGATGATGTATGTGAGACAGATTAACTCACATAATTTTACACGAATTTTAAAGACTGGATTCTTTTTTCGATAGTGTTTCCTAATTGTACAGCAGCGACGATTACAAAGTTTTGCCATCACGTACAAGATGTATAAGATGATTTGGTTTAGAAGCAAACATGTCTCAAAGTTGTTGACAACTTTCTCAGGCAAACGAGCGGTGACGACATGGTCGCCATTGGCATGCGCATTTAACACCAAAATCGAGCCCGCTACAGAATGTAATGGTAGAAACGTGGTAAGTATAAGCATGGTACATATATAAGGGATTGACCATTTAATTTTGTGTGGAGATCGGTAGGTAGAAAAAGAACAACATTTTTTTACCGATTTCTGAGAGACACCTTTACAGATTATGTTTTAATTTGGTACAATGGCAAGACATAATAGGATGCATGTTAGCTTCAGTTATTCCTCCAATTTTTGTCAAACGTAATAAAAATAGCAAATTTGAACAGTTATCGTTTGTTTTGCAGACATGGCTTGGCGAATTTTATTGAAACTTAGTATGAACAAGTAACATGATTGAGTACTATAAGACGGGGGACGGTCGATTCGTCCCAAATCACATTCGTCCCAAGTCGATTCGTCCCACAAGTTGATTTGTCCCAAGTCGATTCGTCCCACAAGTTAATTCGTCCCAAAGTCGATTCATCCCACAAGTCGATTCGTCCCGCAAGTCGATTCGTCCCACAAGTCGATTCGTCCCGCAAGTCGATTCGTCCCACAAGTTGATTCGTCCCAAAGTCGATTCGTCAGATTTAAGGTTAGCCCACTACTAACTCGCCAATTAAGATTTCTAGACATCTCGACCCAAAAATTTCTCGACCCAAGACACTTCGACCCAAATTGGACATCTCGACCCAGACACCCTGGGCATCTCGACCCACCGCATCGACCCGACCCTATCTAAGTGTGGCGACACGAACCTCTATCTAGTTCAACGTTGATAATGTTGCTCTTTGATAACTTAAAATTCTCGCGATATTGCGTATCGTGCTGTATATGAATGCTGTGTTTGAATGAACGACATTTATTGATTCGAAACATTGAAAACAGGGAACATGATCGAACTGAACCTTAAACGCAAATCGACCGCCATCTTTGGTTCTACCATTTAACGCGGTGGGTAGGTGTATATAACGTAACATCGATGTGACACACGTCGACACGGCAAGAATACATTTCCTCAGTACGGCATTTTTTATTTTGTACAGCAAAAATATATATAAGCACAAACACATCCAAACAACGAACTGTTCACGTACACGTCATGCACTGGCATACGTAATTGTTCGTTGCGCCATTTTGTTTTTGCCGACGTTATATACAAATACACCTTACCTACAACGCTGAGTTATTAGTTAATATATACAAATACACCGTACAAGTTATTAGTCAATAAATACAAATACACCTTACGTGCAACGTAGAGTTATTAGTTAATAAATAAATACAAATACACCGGACATGCAACGTACAAGTTATTAGTTAATAAAACAAAT